ATCCCATGACTTAGATTGTAAGTAGGCAATTATATCAGTCTAGCCACTGTCAGTATTTAGCTATATTTGGCAAGTTTGATGATTATCAAGTTAAGGGTATGAATAATTTAGTTGTTAAATGAAGGTCTCAGATAATGTTTAACACAGAAAATGTAGAGTAACAATGCAACTTGGAGGGAGAATGGCCTCAAAGCGTAAAGTCCTTCGAAGCAGGGTTCAGGGCTCTCTTAGGGGCTCTTGTCTATTTGGTTAAGATAATCTCGATCTGCTTCACTCTGAGACATATTTTGAAACATTTTCAAACAAATTCCATGACTAATATTTCATGAGTAAAGTTTGTTGAGAAGGATTTGGACCTGAGTGTGTGTGTGTGTGTGGGTCAGAATTGGTTCTTACAGACATGATATGATTATCTACTATAAGTCTGGGGACCGACCTGTTACCTCACTATCCTAAAGACATGGCTTAGTTTCGTGCCGAGGTACAGAAAGCTTGCCAAGTGACTAATAATATAATAATAATAATGTTTAATTTTTATACAGCGTAAATGTCTCTAAGCGCTTTACAAATAATGTGATCAGCATAAACTGATCAGCACATTTTGGGAGAAGCAAGAGTTCGAATCAGGTCAACAAACTTTGGGGTCAGAAGTATCAAAACATGCGCGTAAAGATCCGACTCATGTGGTGTGCATGTGAACATTTTCTAGTGCGGAAATAATTTGGCAAAGTTATGCGTGCAAATGAGCGCGCTTTGAATAGCCATTCTCGCTACATTTTCCGTTCAAGGCAGTCGATTGTTTCAGAGCTGCAAAAAATTAAAAAAAAAAAAAAAAAAATGGGAAAGAGAAAGACTAATGAGTGCGCCAATGGCGGTGCTACTGCCCAGCAGAAAAGACAAAGAACAGCTGCAAAGAGTCGGAAGGGCACTAGAGCCAGCTCAATTAGCAAGAAAACTAACAATTCAGCGCAAACTCCGGCCAGCAGTTGCTCAGCCACAAGCATCAACGGACGGGCGAGGCGCAGTCGTCAGGCAAGCAGCACAGAGAGGGCACGGGCAGTGCAGTCTCGGCCGCTAACAGTAGACAGCGGAGTAGGCCTACCTGAAGCGATCTCGGCATTACCGGCAGCAGGCATCCCACCAGCAATTTCGAGCACCCCACCACCACCAGCAGCAGCCCTGAATACCCAACCATCACAGCCGGGATCACAGTTGCAGTTACAGTCAACAGGTGAGGTACGGATAGATCTAGATCTTGATCTACCCACTGGTACTAATGCTACTTCAACCGAAGTTAGATCTATGGCTAATTGCACAGCAATTAGTGCTGGGGTCGGTACGACAAGCCCCAGGCCACACAGAGGGGCAGACAATAGTCACATAACAGGGGCGAACCCACTTTTAACTTCGTTCCCTACAATCGTGCCCCATGTTGACTGGGAGTCGGGGAATCAAGGGCATGTCTCAAGAGGCATTCAATATAGATCTAGGCCAATCGGAAGTCAGTATGATAATAACAGCAGACCTAGCTACACAGGTATCGGTAATTCATCGGTACCACATACCGAGCATAGGTCCGGGTTCGCAGTAAATGACTCCCCGCCCCAATCCCCACTACGGCCAGTTGGAGATAGACTAGGCTCGGCCATTCCCAATAACATTAGGGAGAAAATATGGAAAGGCGAGTATGTGGATTTTAATGTGTTAGTGAATGCCCAAGAGGTGTCAGCACTCACACAGTGGGAAGCTAGAGACGAACAAAGGACGAATTTGGCAATGACTCAGGAAGACGGGAGATTGGTATTGAAACCTGTCAGCGCGACATCCAAGAATAAGATTGCAACCATAGAGTTGTGGACTAATGCATTTCTTGTGTATGCTAGCATTGTTTTGGAAGCAAATTTGAATTGCGCACAAGACTTACTGAAATACTGCCACCTTATTCGATCTGCTGCTTCGCGCTATTATGGGTATGGGTGGAGAGATTATGATATCGAATTTCGTCACCGCTACCACAAGAAAGGTGGATCTTGGGCAGGTATAGATGGAGAATTGTGGCTCCTTCATGTAGTGGGAGGGGGACCTCCTCGGGGAGTTCGTGGCCAAGACCGTCCACTCGGGCGATCGGCCCCATGGTCCAACAGGAGGGAATGGAAGCGAACATATAACCCTAGCACTAGCCAAACACAGGGCAAGGGTAGGTTTGTGCCCCCCAGGTCACCCAATTTTCGCAGTGGAATCTGTCACGAATTCAACTTCAGGTCAGGGGCTTGTAGCCGGAAAGATTGTAGGTACGCGCACAAGTGTTCCCTGTGTGGAGCAAGTGGCCACGGCAAGGTTTTCTGCCCAAACAATCAATCCAACTCAAAAGCCCCCAAACCCAAAGCTCAGTAAGGAAAAGGCAATTCCTAGGAGACAGATATAACACACAAAAAATAGAAATCAGGACAAGCTTGAAGGTGAAATACACAGTAACAGTAGAGATGTACAGATTACAGGACAGGTTATATCCTTGGGGAAGTCACCCATTAAAATAAAGAGCCTACAACAATTGTTAAAAAGCTACCCAAATGAGCGAGCAGCCAGGTTTTTGGAAAGTGGTTTCACAGAAGGATTTTGTTTGAATTATACAGGCCCTCGCATGCCAGTAGACTTACCCAACCTAAAATCAGCAGAAAATAACAAGGACATTACACGAGAGAAGATACGGAAGGAGATTAAGCTAGGGCGATACATAGGTCCCTTTGAGTCCAGGCCACTAAAAAATTTGAGAACTAACCCAATTGGCCTGGTGCCAAAGAAATCCCCGGGGGATTATCGATTAATCAATCATTTATCATACCCGCCTGGATACTCTGTGAATGATTTTATTGCAGATGAGCATTGTAAAGTGGAATATACTAGATTTGATACAGCGGTTGAGATGGTCGCCGAGGCTGGAATGGGAGCCGACTTGGCTAAGGAGGATATCAAGTCCGCCTTTCGATTGTTGCCTATGCACCCGAAAGATTTTGAGGTGTTAGGGGTCAAATTTGAGGGGAAATATTATCTCGACAAATGCTTGCCCATGGGGGTCAGATGTGCTCCAGCGTATTTCGAGACCTTTTCCACATTCATAGAATATTGTGTTCGGGAGCGAAGTGGCTCAAACGGGATTATACACTATGTTGATGACTTTTTGTGTGTTAGTTCAATAGAGCACGGGGGCGTGTCATGCCTCGAGATGGTACAAGTTCTCAAAGGAATCTGTGAGGAGTTAGGGGTTCCATTAGCGGCAGAGAAATCCGAGGGGCCTACCAAAAGATTGACATTTCTCGGGTTAGAACTTGACTCTGTGTTAATGCAGGTTCGAGTTCCACATGATAAGCTTACTGAGGTTAGGCGCAAGATTAAGAAGGTGTTGTCACACAAATATGTAACAGTTAAGGAGATCCAATCAGTCATTGGGTCACTGAACTTTATTAGTCGGGCTGTGCGACCAGGAAGGGCATTCTTACGCCGGTTGATAGACCTAATAAAGGGAGAGAAGACTAGTTCTAAGCCACTGTCCATTTCGGAGGGTGCTCAGCTAGACTTGAGAGCATGGCTGGAGTTCATAGAGTATTATAATGGCGTAACAGTAATTACACAGGAAAGGTGGGTAAATAGTAGAGAAATGAGCCTCTACACAGATGCAAGTGGAGCAATAGGCTTTGGCGGCTACTTCGGAGGCAAATGGTTCAATGGGAAATGGTCTTCACGGGAAATAATCACTGGAACTTCCATAGCATGGAAAGAGATGGTACCTATTGTACTTGCAGTGTCAATATGGGGAGATGAGCTAAAGAACAAGAAAGTTGTCGTGTACACAGACAACATGTCAGTGATGTATGCAATAAACAAACAGACATCATCGTGTACAAAAATTATGGCTTTGGTGAGATCGTTCGTCTTGGTGTGTCTGAGGCAAAATATCTTGTTTAAGGCAGTTCATGTACACACATATGATAATGGTATTGCGGACTCCCTTTCCCGATTCCAGATGTACCGATTTCGCAAGCTGGCGCCGTTGGCGGAAGAAAGGGCCTCACTAATACCGCCTGGAATATTACAGACCTAGCAAAAGAAACACAGAGGCTGTTGGGACAATCTCTAGGGGAAGGATCTCAGCGCGTGTATCAGAGGGCAGTGGATTCTTTTCAGGAATTTCGGTTGAATCACCAGTTGAATCCTTCTTGGCCGGCATCAGTGAAACAGGTCATGGCATTTATTGCCCAACTTTCTATCAGTGGGAAAGCACCCTCGACAATCACAGTGCATGTTGCAGCCCTAGCATATTTACATAACATGCATGGTTGGGCAGATCCCACAAAACATTTTTTGATTAGGAAAATGCAAGAAGGTAGTAGAAGAGACAAATGTTGTGTAGATACTAGAAGACCCATCACATGGGAGCTAATGCGACAACTGTTGCCAAACCTAGCATATGTATGTTTTTCACGATACGAAGCAATCATGTTCAAGGCAGCGTACTTACTAGCATTCTTTGGTTTCCTGAGAATAGGGGAGTTCACCATCCGAGGGAAGGGTGATGATACAAGGAAGGCGTTGAATATCACAGATGTACAATTAGGCCGAGGCATTCCTGAAACTTTACTGTTACAAATACGATTTTCTAAGACAGACCAATATGGGAAATCTACCACTTTGAGGATTAATGCAAACCGGGTAGAGGGGGTATGCCCAGTACAGGCCATGAAATCATATTTACAAGCAAGGCCACAGGTAGAGGGTCTACTATTCTGTCATGAGAATGGCTCCCCCCTTACAAGGTACCAGTTCAGTGCAGTCCTGAAAAAGAACATTCAGCAAATTGGGGCGAATGTTAGTCGGTATGGGACTCACTCTTTCCGAATTGGGGCAGCTACCACAGCTGCCTTGAATGGTGTGCCACCAGAACAAATTAGGAAGATGGGTAGGTGGCGCAGTGAAGTTTATTTGCGCTATATAAGATAAGTTACAGTTACTCCATACTAAGTACTAGGGAGTTATTACAATTATGAAAATAAAGCTCACAAGAAAATTTTATATGTTCTTCCCAAATATATGAACATGTTACTTTCGGGAGTTTAACTATTTTATTTCAGGACGAGTACGCAACCGAGTCTGGATAGTGGGGGACAGTATCGTAAGAAGGGCCAAAGAGCGAGCTACTGCACAGAACCGCCTGCACTTGGGAGCAGAGAAGGGTGCAGTACAGTGGCATGGTCAAGGAGGTGCTACTCTCCATGACTTCCCCCGAATGGTCACAAATAGGCTGAATTACAACGCCCCACCCGCACTGGCGATCGTTCACCTGGGAACAAACGACTTGGGTCAGAGAGATGCATGCCGTTGCAGAATCGCAATCGATACAGCAATTCAAACTCTACGAGCAAGAATGCCAGGAACCCACATAGCCTGGTCTGGTATTCTTCCAAGATTGTTTTACTACGGTAGCAGACCAGGCCCAACATCACAAGAGACAATGGATGGTGTGCGGAAGTCACTTAACAAATTCGCAAAGAGGAGAATCTCCCAGATGGTGAACACATCAATGATAGTGCACAACATAGATACCAAAGAGCACAATCTGTTCCATAGGGATGGAATTCATCTCTCAGATGTGGGCTCGGACATGCTCATCGATAAATTCGAATCTGCAGCCAAGGACACTGGCCTTCTCTGAACAGATTCAGCCTAATGTCAATAGTATTCTATGTAAACCTAAAGTGAGCGACAAAAGTCAATTAGTTGAATTGAGTTATATTTGGGTTATTCCATGAGATTGGGTGTGAAAATATAAGATGATAGCCAGGTAACGGGAGGCATGAGAAATACTATTACACACTGAAAAGTAATTCAGTCGTGGAAGATTCTGATACATTGAATATATAACTCTGTACTGTCAAGTCATGCTTGTTTCAATAAGTAATCTATAAAAGATATATACTGTGACACAAAATTGTTTACCTATGGGGATAAGGCAGTCAGTGCGCATGTAAAAGGGTGATGTATGATTCGTCAATGTAAATGTATTTGGCTTTGTTTATCTTATGAGGTGGAAATGTTTTGATTCTGAATCTGGAAAATCTGAAGTCACATGGCATTACATTATAATTGTCTAGTGATAAGGGAGCCTGAGTCTGCTGGCAAGGACTGGAGTCAGTAAGACTTGGTCGCACTAAATGTTTCAGGAACCAGTGGGCCATAGGGGAATTTTCCCGACTACGAAATGTAGCTAGCTCGACGGATCTTTAAGTCCGATCACAATAGCCGGTTTTGCCCCTATCTTTCCTCGCGCAGCAGGAGTAGCTCCAAACAGTTTAGAATGCAAATGCATTAACACCTCAACATGAAATGTATAGTTACCCAACTTTAATGCATGACACAAGTGTAGAAGTGAACGGCAATGAGCATAGTTCACATGATGACATCATGAGTGTATGGTTAAATAGGTCAGGATGAATACCTACAGCAACCGGGGGAGAAAGTAGGAGATCTCAAGAGATCTGTATAGAAGCTGAATCTAGTTTTAAAAAAACAAACAATAATAATAAATTAATTAATTAATCACAAAAAAAAAAAAAAAAAAAAAAAGGTATTGGGTGGAGGTTTGAATTTTATATAATGTAATTTGAACACGCGGGACTGCCAATATCTTTGGCCAAGCAGGCCGGGATACGCGTCCGCGTTTAGGAGTGATGAGGGGGACAGGAACCCCAAGAAGAGGGGGATATCAGCGGGAGTTACTATCCTGCTGGTGGATCACGTTCAGAGCCCCATGAATTGGGGGGCTACCGGGAGGAGCTACTATCCTTTCTGGTGATCACGTGACCAGAGATCCTCAGGATTATTCTGACAAATTAATTCTCACAGTTTGATATTGCAGATAGGATTATATTACATGTATTTTGGTTTGGAGTTTCGCAGAATTATGTTCCTGAGTTTTCATGTTCGTACATAGCAATTTGCATCATGTATGTGTATTGGTATTACAGGCAGACATTGCCTATTTTAAATGTTAACGCCTTGAAGCGGAAATAAATGTCGAGCAATTGCAATTCATGTTCGTACAGTTGCTTTCTTCACAAAATAATGTGATCAGCATAAACTGATCAGCACATTTTGGGAGAAGCAAGAGTTCGAATCAGGTCAACAAACTTTGGGGTCAGAAGTATCAAAACATGCGCGTAAAGATCCGACTCATGTGGTGTGCATGTGAACATTTTCTAGTGCGGAAATAATTTGGCAAAGTTATGCGTGCAAATGAGCGCGCTTTGAATAGCCATTCTCGCTACATTTTCCGTTCAAGGCAGTCGATTGTTTCCCCCCCCCCCACCCATTCCCAAGTGACTATTTAGGGTTCACACGTTACGAGGTTGTGTAACAACGAATGAGGAATAGTTAGTGGGAGTTTGTTACTCAGACATGTTTGTAACAGTTAAAGACAATGATGTATTATTGTTGTTAAGGGGACATGATCTATGCACACATTCTGCTCCAAGGCCAAAGATTGGGGAGCGAGGTAGTTGCAAATTCTTGTACATTAAGGTGGATTTAATTGGGCATGTCTGAAAATAGGAAATAGTCATAACCTTCTCCATAAGTTGGTACATAGTTCAAGCCTTAGTCCCGAGTCAAGAACCACAAAGGATTTAAGCTGGAGTTATGTTGGAGTGATATATATCAGGGCAGAGGTCACAGTGGTTATGTTGCCTGCACTGGCTATAGCCTGCCTTAAGGTTAGGTGGTTAGGAGGAAGGTATGGGGCAGGTACTTTGGCACAGGAATAGTATTAACATTACAAGGTGGCAAAGTTCAGATATGGAGATACTGGGCGTGGAGGTTATGCAGCATAATATTATTGTGTATTGTTTAGCTTTGATCATGCAGTTAGTTGGAGGGCCGGGCAGGAAGTGCCCAGGGTAGGATGTATGTGTATTTAGCACTATGTTAGTGTAAACACTTTGAGTAAGGTTCTGGTGGTCTTGAAGTCTTAAACTGAGTCTATTACATTTTATTAGTGACACCCTGTTAAGGTTGGGAGGTTGGGCTGCACGGGGAGTTAATCCTGTTCACAGGTCATTGTCACACATCGTTTTAAGGTTGGGAGGTTGGGCTGCACGGTCAGTTAAATCTTGTAGTTATCTACAGGACTTTTTCACATGATTTACGGATGGGAGGTTGGGCTGCATGGACAGTTAAATCCTGTATTTATCTACAGGTCATTTTCACATGATTTACGGATGGGAGGTTGGGCTGCATGGAGAACCAAATCCTGTGTTTAATTACAGGCCATTATCACATGTCTTACGGTTGGGAGGCTGGGCCGCACGGAGATTTTAATCCTGTGTGTTCAAGTTACAGGTCATTGTGACGTGTTGTTTTATGGTTGGGAGGTTGGGGTGATTGGAGAGATCAATCACGAGTATACATGTAATTATCGTTATATGTATGTTTTTGTAGATGTGTTCAAGGTTAGAGAATACATATTCATTCAGAGAACAAGGATGGTAGTTTAAGTTAGTTACGGTATAGAGGTTTGAATTTTATATAATGTAATTTGAACACGCGGGACTGCCAATATCTTTGGCCAAGCAGGCCGGGATACGCGTCCGCGTTTAGGAGTGATGAGGGGGACAGGAACCCCAAGAAGAGGGGGATATCAGCGGGAGTTACTATCCTGCTGGTGGATCACGTTCAGAGCCCCATGAATTGGGGGGCTACCGGGAGGAGCTACTATCCTTTCTGGTGATCACGTGACCAGAGATCCTCAGGATTATTCTGACAAATTAATTCTCACAGTTTGATATTGCAGATAGGATTATATTACATGTATTTTGGTTTGGAGTTTCGCAGAATTATGTTCCTGAGTTTTCATGTTCGTACATAGCAATTTGCATCATGTATGTGTATTGGTATTACAGGCAGACATTGCCTATTTTAAATGTTAACGCCTTGAAGCGGAAATAAATGTCGAGCAATTGCAATTCATGTTCGTACAGTTGCTTTCTTCACAAAATATACTATTACCCTGGTCATTGGATTCAGTGCTTGACTGCACACACTGTGTGCACAATCTCCACCCCCTGGGGAGCATTCCAGCCGGGCGTTACTTGACGCTCACAAGCTGTTTGACCAACAATGACGGCCGCATCCTACCGGGTACCCATTTGACACCTGGGTGGAGAGTAGCAAGTGCAGGTTAATATCTTGCCAAAGGATATTAGTGCCGTGTCCAAAATTTCGACCTTCGCATCTCCAGGCAAGCGCCTTCAACCACTCGACCACGACACTCCGGAATGTACCGCTAGATCAACTCACATCTCATAAAACATGTCCATTTAAAATTTAACCTGTTGCTGTTCAACATTAAAACCCAACCTGTTTCCACTGTTCCAGCATGCATTATTCACTTCAGATTTGTCAAAAAGTTTTCTCATACATCTAGAGCTTTCCTGCTTCCTTCACTATATGTCTGTCATTCGATCTCACATAAAGAGTGTGAGATTACTCACCTTTACATGCTCCACACCAAGTCTTGTGAATGACCAACATCATAGGTTTGTCGCTGAAAGAACAATATTATTAGAGATCACATGGTAATATACACACATACATGTACATACACTGTACATACAGATACTGGCTAACTCGGACCCGGGGACAACGCGGCCCGTCCCCATACATATGTGTACATAGTTTTGTGCTTTGGCTCAAAAACTTTAATATTCCTAGGTCCATATCAAATTAGCATTAGCATTTTTACTTCGATAAGAAATTCGGATTGCATCTGAGCATTTTACTTTTAAAGCAAGCCAACTGCAAGGTAAAATAATTACTGACAAGCATTGTGATGTCACATGGTCACTGCAAATTTATGAGCAATAAACCCATCCCATCATATGCACCCTTATATAATTGTGTGCAGCATTTGATGACCTTGTATGAAGGCTTGCCAATCAGGCCCTCTAGAATAATTGGTCTGCTAGGGAGGCTTATCCATCACATGTAGATCACAATACCTAGACTCTAGATATGTTTTAAGTTGGAAACATACATGTTTAAGTTTAAAATCAATACTCCACACAAAGTGGCATAAGTTTTACTCCAGGATATATTAGGTCCATGAATTATTACTTCAGGAAATCATTTATTTCCTACCTGAAAAGTACACCAATCAGCATCACCCATTTGAAAAAGAACAAAAAATAATGTATTTTTTTAATAAGTGAAGTATGGGTTTTAACCAAATTGAGTAAGCTACTTATCATCATAAACTTACTTCTCTTTGGCTAGCTTCAATCCATCTTCAAAGGTAACCCAATCATATTGTTCTCCTAAACCTGTTAAAGGAAAAGAAAACATTTATCTCAAAAGTGCAGGCTTTTTTCTTCTATTCTTTCAGATATAAAACGTGATTTTGAAACTGAACAACAATAACGATTACTGTATAAAGGCGAGCGCGGGGGTGAACCTAAATTCAGCACACTCCCTGCCAGTGGCGGATCCAGGGGGGGGGGGGGCCCGGGGGGCCCGGCCCCCCCCCCCCCCTTGAGAAAAAAATCATGTAAAATCACGTGATTTTTACCTTTTTTTGGGGTTGGGCCCCCCCCCCCCCTGGCGCTCAGGGGGGGGGGGGGGGGGGGTGCAAATTGAAATTTTTTTGAGGATCAAAAAAAAAAATGTGCTCACTACCCCCCCCCCCCCCCCCCCCCCCCCATTGGTGACGTCATCATCCTTTATGCGCAGTAACAGTTTAAACTACGGCTGCAGGAATTTCAACACAGGGTGCAACTTCGACCAACAAAATGCTGGAAAAAAGACATCTAAATGCATTATGCAGTGAAGCCTAGGCTTAATTTTCAAGTATAAATGTGTAGTCGTGATTCAGCCCGAGCCCCTATTGTCGTAAAGTGAGCGTCAACATTGAGCTGCGAAATCAGTCATAGTCATGTATTTGTGTTTCCGGCAAAACCAATGTTGCAAACTTTTGTGAGAAGTTAGAAACCAATTCCATGACAGTCATATCTTGTTTCACAAAACCATGATAAGCGACAAATTCATGCTTTCGATACTATCGGCTAAAAACCTAATCTTTGTCACGATCCATCAGATTTTATCCTAAATCAACAAAAGAGATTAGAAAAATGAGAATTAATTCGAAAGTACAAAAAGGTGTATTCTTTGCAATTTCTATGACAAGTATTATGTTCAGTTGGCCCGTAATTTTCCCGTAGAATACCTATCCCGGTGCCAGAAATTGACCCATATAATTATTCTGCTCAATTTGTTGTACCAAATTAGAAGGAAAACTGAAATGCCAAATACCTCCCGAAATGCAAATGTTACTAATAAAAGCAGTGAAGCGCCAAAATAAAAGACGAACAATACACAACACATCCCATAAAGAATGAACATAATTGCAATGCTATTATTTCTCCAATTATAATGAGGTTAGTGTATATAAATGTTATGGCATTTTACACCATTAGGGATATGGAACCGATTTGATAACTGAATATCTTTTGTTTGTAAGTACACAGGATAGGGGTATAATGAACAGTGAACGAAACCAAACTTTCAAATTGACAAACCCCGGAATGACAGCATGGACGGCATTTTCCCCCTCTTTAACATATCGCGGCGTATGCAGCTGAAAATACAATGGCGTCTAATTTCGTTTACATGTGATGGATTCCTTTATTTTTTATCGCCGCATTTTTCATCAAAATAATACCATGCGCGGGGTTTAGAGTGAGGCAATTGAATAAACATTTATCCTGACGGTAAGTGAAGTATTAAAGAAATAACTGAAGAGAAGATGACAAAACAGGCATTGAAAATGTGTGAGATGTCATTGGACATCGTCTGCTTGTGCAAATCATGTTAAACATGATTGTGACGTCACACATCTCAGTAGCGTTTGGAGAGTTCTTCAGGTAATATGCCAGGGCTATATTTATGCGTTTTGTAATTGATAATAATCATTACTTCGAATGTTTCCAAGCATTTAATTTTGATAACCTTGTCTAATCAAAGTTTCACCTTTGCAATAATGACAATAATTTTTTTTTGGTTTTAATCAATGAACCTTCTCTTAAATGGTCAATGCAATTTCTTTGAAATTAATTTCGATTTGATTGCCCTGCCATTAGCTTTCTCGCGAGAGACTTGATGACAGACTAACATCATGGATTTTAATAGTTCCGGGTACAAAAGGTATACAGACGGCATCTGATCGGGAAGTTGTTTGTGGATATTCAAACTGAATGTCGGGTGAGAGTCCACCGTATACGGATGCTAGCTGATTGAGAAATTGGAAGTTGGAAAGTTGGAGTGTGAGATGTGGATGTTGCGGGGAATACTGGAGAAAATGGCATCATTCAAAGTTCTGAAACTATTTTTATCAACTCTGTCCCTTTTCGTCTGTTTTCCAAAATTGATACAAGGTAGGTTGCTAGTATCCATTCAAATCAATATTGGCGTGTGATTGTTTGCGTACTGAGGTGATCACGACTGAGTCGATGGTTTATGAAATATATATATATGATTCCTTTTTAAGGGCGGTGTTCCTGAGAAAGTCAATTTCCTTTTTTTACGCCGATCCTCGTGCCGTTTCTATATACATGTGACTAAAGAATAGAACAATAAGATTATGACTTTTAGCTCTTATGCATGCATGTAATTTGGGAATAGGAACAATGTTTGAGATATATACATGTATATATGTATACATATTACCCCCGACTTATTCTGGAAATAAGGGTTTTGATACTTTAAAACCTATGCAGTTTATATATTCTGTAATATGTTCTGTAATATTAACATGACTTATTTACATAATTGCGACTTAATCAATATTTTCCTATTGACATTACTGTTTACTAGGTTGATAATATATGTTTATTTTGCAAACGAGTATTATTTTGTTAACTGTTCTGTATAAACGTTATAAACGATGTATATGTTCATGTTCATTCAGGGCCCCATGGAAGACCACTACTTGTTCGTGAATGGGCTACCCTGTCAAAAGATTAGAAATAAATAAATAAATAAATAAGTAAATTGAACCTTTCAAAAATGTCCGAGTATTATATAGCATAGAATAAGCAAAATAATGTACAATGAAATTGTGAAATATTACGAATGAAGAGCATAAAAACTGAATACGCTTAGCGCTTCCTAAATACACTCCCCAAACAGATACCTGCCATTCTAATACACTAAAAGCCTATAGATTAAAGATAGTTAACAATGATGAATATGACTTGGCTTAAACTTGCTTCAACCAGACTCTAATGTAAGTAGAACAGAAGAACATCTTCCATGGGTAGCCCTGTGGCTTTGAAGTCTGTCTCCCCAGTCCTTACCCTGCCAATTCAATCGAGTAAATTAACCCTCATAAGAATTTGGAACCTGAATTTGTATCAAACATTAGTTATGTACTTAATAATATAGTTCACCAATGGTAAATACATACATATCTCATTTGAATGTTTATCTGGTTTTATTTTATGAGCCCAGTAAACATATGGAAATTGTATATAAATATCGTGACAACTTCTATACGCACATGACATAATGCAACTTATCAAAAATTAACAAACATGATCTTTCATCTCATACTAACTTGTGGATAGACAAAATATAGAATTACAAGGCTATAAAATGCGTTTTGACTTTACACTTTCGTTGGTGTTGGATTACCCAGCTAGTTGTCTTCTATGGACCTGCGCCCGCAACACCCCCGAGTTATAAACTTCTGAGTTTTAATGTGCAAAGTACAAGTTCTGTAGTGTTGCCCCAGTGCACTCTACCACTGGTCAAATTAGTAGGCACTATGAATATGACGTACAATGAAAGCAGACAAAATATACAGTTCCTCAGGTAGACAAAGGAACATCCCTTCACTGCTTTTATGTAAAAATGTGTCACATGCATATTCACCTGTTCTACACATTTCTACATAATAGCAGTGAAGGATGTT